GTTCCTTTTCCTCCCCAAAGATTATGATTCTCCATTTACAGTTTACTTCTTAATGTATGGAGAGCTCAAGTGAGGAGGCTGAGTTGCCTCTACTATGTAAGACATACAAGTGGGACTGTACAATCTAGCATTTGAGGCATTTTGTGATCTGGGAGATTACCTTTGTCTGCTGTGTAATAATTAAACACCCCAGCTTAAATGGTCACTTTATTTGTTTGGAATATTATATAACCATTCCTGTATGCAAAACTGTGTAAATTCTGCTGGTATAAAAGTTAGTAGAAAAGTTGGGTATTATTTAAAACACTTTTATCCAGTTGTGCACCCACATTTCAGTTAGACACTTGAGAGGTAATATTCCAAGAGTTACTGGTTTATTCATGAATTAAATCATGCTAGCAATCCTGTAGTTTATTTCTATAAACTTGATCCAAGCTCACTTAAACAGTGGTAAGATATTACCTGTTTCAAATGATTAATTGTTTGTATTGTCCTTGATGTTTCACGAGAATCGAATTTTGGTTTGTACATTAATTTTTTTTTCTTTTGGTCTATTACAGATGAGGGATTCGTACCTCATTCTGGATGAATATGTAAGTTTTTGTTTGATACTTGGTATTTGTAAGCTAATATGTATGTCTATATAACAGTGATAACCAAATCAATTTACTGTGCATTCTATAAAATAACTTACCGTGTAGTACAAGGAACAGATGTAATATCTTCCCATCAAACATATTAAGAACTTAACAGAAGTATGACCTAAGGAGAAATTGCCATTGGGTTTATATGTAATCATTGCATCACAAACCTTAAAGTGTAGATATCTGTCTTTGTAGGATGTCTTCGCTGTTTAATTTAAAAATACAGAACTCATCCTGAAAGTTAAGTTTCAAGGAGCCTGCTTAGTTTACATATAACTGAAGAGGAAACTTTTAATCTTTAGGAATTATGCTAAGGCTTTATTCCTGCTGAGATGTGTTGATGTATCTGACTGCAAGCTGCTGAGCTTTCTAAGGACTAAGTGAAATTGTTCATGCACTGATGCAGGCTTTCCTGGCATTAAAGAGCAACTTGTTTAATTCTGTAGAAAAATTAAGCTTTTACAAACTGACTTTCTAACATCTTATCTATTGATGTTCCAGATGCGTTTTCTGAACTGCAGAAATGGACGGAAAGAGCCTTCCAAGTCTATCCTAGATGTTGGTGTAGAAGCAGCTATAAAATTCAGTGGATTTGATGAGAAGATGTTCCTTAAAAGAGGAGGAAAGTATGTGTGGAGTAAAGCAGACATGAAACTGGACTGGTAACTCAATATACTGAGTTAGGGCAGGTGCATTATGTAAAGAAAATGGGTGTATGTATATGTGCCTGTATATATATGTATCTAATGCTTTTAACTACACTACGTGTATTGCACATATTGCATACACAGTATAGTTCTGTATGTGAATATGCTAAATATTTTAGAATGCAGACTATGTTCTTATCCATTGTTTGGTTGAACATTACCAAGTAGCTTGAGAGCTTTCATATAAACAGATCTCTGAAATCAACTTTCTAGTCCATTGTATGAAGGACTTAAGGGCAAACCTTTAACATAATGTCACACAGGAAACAATTTTAAGATAATACGTAAGTGTGCATGCCATAAAACAAACCAAAACACACCCTAATGTCTAATTTATTACAAACAGCTTTAAGAATGGATAAGTGGAATTAACAGGGAACGTTAGTCTACTTCGTTCATATGTAACGGTGGATTGCAGTTCCTCGCTAGATCACAAGAGGGCCAGCTGGCAGTCCTAAGGAAACCGCCCTCGTTTTTGGTTTTCTGTCAATTAATTTTTGGTTTTCTGGCTTTATAGTTTTCCAAACTTAATTAGTTCCCCCCTCCTCATGCTCTGTATGAAGGGTATGGGGATAAGCACTGCACAAAGCAGAAGTGAGCTGGAACTACTCATTCGTCCTGTCCATTGCACTCAATGCATGGACCGTCTCATAAATTTAAATGTTTGCACCAGTTGGAAGCCAGCATGCATTAATATACCATGTAGAGAAAAAACATCTTCTTTCATTTTTCTGATAGTGGTAGTTAATTTTTTTCAGCTATTTTTGAGAGGAATGTTTTGCATTCACCTAAATATAGGGGAAGGTGCCTAAGTAGGAGCTGCTACTTCTGAGTAAAGGAAGGTGCATCTCTGAATACACTGTGAATTTTTTTCCATTTATAATTCCTTCAGTTTCTGTTTTTACTATCCTAACTAAATATACTTTCTCTGGTGCTCTTTTGTCTCCTTGTAATGCCTCCATTTTGCAATCACAACACTTCCTAAGCACTTACAGTTCAGTATTTTTTTCCTTGCATTAATACTAAGTGACATTTAAAATGTGGCCCACACACATTAACCCCACAGTCTTTTGGCAGCTCTTTCACTGACCTCAGTTGGAGGTCTGCCTGAGTAGCGAGTATGGGCAGCACAAATTTATGTAGCTGGGGTTTGATTTCCTCTGCATTCCCATTGCTCAAATGTTAAACCCAGCCTCTTTCTCAGCATCTACACTGCATTATAGAACAGAAGCATTTTCCTTTGCTACTGGCTCAGTCCCAGCATGGGGAAAGATTTAGTGCATCAATGTACCAGTAAATCTACCAGCTTGCTGCTTCTGCAGAAAATGCCAGCTGTATCCCAGCACACAGATGCGAGGCACACAAACTCCCATTCAGAACCAGAAATCCTGCCATTCTTTGCTTTGCATTTTACTCTGTAAAGGGCTATTCTTTTGGTGCAAGAGATCCTCTGTGCCTACGGAGGAAGCTGTAGAGTAAACAAACTGGAGCTGAAAATGTGATAATCCTGTAAATAATGTAAAGACATTGAAGATGGCTTTTATCAGAATGTTCTAAGTCCTTCTTTTCTTAAAATCTTAAGGATTTTACATTGCCTCTTGTTACCAAACAGAATTAAGATAAAGTTGCTGCTCTGTGTGATACTCTTTTCCAAACAAAATGGCAGTCTTGTACGTTGGAAATTAACTTGCATAACAAGTTTTGACAGACAATCACCATAGTTAATGAATAGCTATCAGTATTTTTTTTTTTTTTTAATATACAAAATTAATTTTTTTGTGTAAAATCTCAAAAAATGTTTTTGGCTACAGCTTGGTTAACCTAGTTTTTTTTTTTTTTTTCCTTTTTTTTTTTTTTTTAAATCTATAAACACAGTTCACATTGGACCAAAAATGGACTTTAGGCTTTCAGTCTGCAGTGAGGCCTAACTTTCAGCATAGGACTAGAAAATTAATACTGAATTTAGAACAACTACTCCCAGGCTTAGAGAGTACATGTACATTGTGACTCTTAAGGGTTATGATTTGAATTTAAGTCCTGTAAACACAGATATGCTTAATTGCATTTTCGTGTGTAATCTCCTGGTACTGCAGCCAAGTGCTTGCTAAAGATGCTGAAGTGCAAAGGAACTTTTACTGTATTTTGCTAATATTATACAGCTGTTCATTTGTAAAATTTGTTATGAATGACTGTTTGGGAGAATGACCTCAGTTGCAATTATGAATATATCTTGGGTAATGAGTAAAACTGTCATTTAAGATGCATTTTAAGATGCCCTCTTTTTCATCATGAAATATATTTCAATGTCACAAATGATGGAATTTTTAAATGCTGTCATATTTCACTTTGCACATTTCAATAAATATATTTTCTTAAGTTTGTCCATATTATTACTATAATTTTTTGATATAACCCAGAACCATACTAGCAAAACGTGTGACTGCATGTACAAGACAGCTGTAATTCTGGGTGCAATCTGTAGTTAGCATAAGGGGCTGCTTGCACGGTGCCAAGGGAATCTAGGCTGAAAGGGAGAACAATAGCTGTGATTCTCCTTGTGATGAGCAGCATTTGTTACAAGTTTCAGTGGACCGTGCTGTGCTGGGAGAAGATGGTTAAAACACCTTGTGCTGTTTGGATGACAGGTGTTACAAAAGCCACAGCTATCCATAAATATCTGAGGACAAAAATAGATGATCTGCTATGGTAAATAAGAGAGAAAGGGTAGTCAGTTTAGTGGCATAAAGACTTTAAAGCTCATCAGTCTCCAGGCTGCAGTATCAACTCTTGTACTAGGCAACCTGAAATTGAGCTTTTCACGGTAATCGGTTGTGTGTGATGGGAGGCTTAGCTTTTCATTCCCCCTTGCTTTTGACATCTTTATTCCTGGGTATTGTAGTGGAGCGAGGGTACGCAGGAGCAGAGCTGCAGCCAGATGCACAACGCCTTTTGCGATCCCCTGACCGTGGTGCTCCCCGGAGGCTGCTGTGTGCTGTCACCCCTGCGATGGGTCAGGCAAGGGCGTCAACCAACCAGACCGCTCCTTACTCATCTCCCCATCTCTGGGTTCTTCCTTTTTTGTTACCGCGTGTTACAGAAGAAAGCCCGTGGTTGCTCTATACATCAACCAGCAACGGGAAAGCAGCTGGTTTTGCTGAGCATTGCTTGCAAAACAGCCATGCCCATCACGGTTTTCTTACGTTTACCTCCTTCCTTTTCTTGACAGCGAGGCAAACCCTTCTGCCCTCCTTCGTAAAATCAATCTCCCATTGTTTCTCTCCTGCCGCTGAAAAATGTGCTGGGCCCGGGGGGGCGTCACACTAGGGCAACCGGAGACGCGAGTCCTTGGAATAAATCAAAGCAACATGGGAAAACCGGCGGCTCTGCACGGCCCACCCAGGGAGATGGCTGCTCGGAGCACACAGGGAACAAGCCCGGCGCTGCCAAGAGGGAAATCCCGGGATCCCCGCGCCCACCGGGCCGGGAGGCTCTCCCCCCCGCTGCCGCCAGGGGGCGCCGCAGTGCCCGACGCGCTGGAGCGGGGCGGCTGCTTCAAAGGGGGCGGCGGCGGCGCGACGGTTAATGGCGCCCGCCCAGCTGCGGGCGCGCCCGCCCCCGCCCGCCCTCACCACACCTCCTGCGCCCCCGCAGCAGAAAAGCCCGGGAGCGGCGCCCCTCGCGCGCACTCCGGCCCCGCGGCGGGGGGACGCCATGCGTGGGGCAGCGGGGTAGCGCGGGGTGTCGCGCGCACCTTCCGCGGGCCGCCTGGCCTCGGCTGGGGCTGCAGCCGCACGGTAAGGTGACCCGGGCAGCGAGCGGGCTGTGAGGGGTAGCCGAGCGCGGCGGGAGGGGTGCGGCCGGGAGGTGGGGGCGCCTCCGTCCGCCCCTCTGAGCACTGAGGGGTGGCGGTGTCTTTGCCGCGGCGGTGGGGCAGCCGCGTCCCCTTATGTAGAGGGCTCTGCCTGCCGCCTGCCGCACACATGCTATCTGCGGGCTGCGGGCCTCCCCCGAGGAGTGCTGTGAGCGCAGAAACAGCGCGGTTCCCGCTCCGCTGTGCCCCTTTGCCGGGGAGGTTGTACTTCATGCGGGGCGAGTGTGCCGGTGTTGGGAGCGGTACCTGGCCGGGAAGGGTGCTGGCGGAGATGCTTGCCTGCAGCGGGTGTTGCCGGACACGCAGTGAAAACGCTCCCTTGGGCTCGTGTGTTTTATGGGCTGTGTTTGCCATAAATGAGCTAAAGCCTCGTCAAATGGTCTAGTGCCTTGGGGTGCAATAGCCGCTCTTGGAGAGGGTGAAGGGAAAAGGGGGTGTGGATTGACATCTGCAGCCGCCGTGGTCAGATGCAAGTGAAGTGTGCAGTTTGAGGATAGACTGGTTTGCTTCGGTTGCACCGGTGGGAAAAGTAGCAGTAGGACTCGTTTAGGTTTGGGGTTTTTTGTTGGATTTATTTTTTTTTTGGTGGTTGTATTTTTCCTTCCTTCACTGTGCTGAAGGGATGCTACCGTTTACTTTTTTTATGTGTTGCAAAAAGGTATATGTAGGATAATAAGGTGGTTCCCCTACTCCCTGGATCTCCAGTGCCGTTTTAAACCAAGGGTATCTTGTGTCTGAAAAATCAGGCCCTAGGATCACCTTGTTTTAGTTGCTTCTATCGAGCTGGAATAGGGAGTGTCAGTGGGGCAGGCTGGTGGAATAAGATAGAAGCTGCTTGAGTTTCCACTGTGTTCTTGGAAATACTGTAATTTTTATCCTGGAACATATTATTCTGTGTTTTACAACAAGCATGAATGATGATTTATATATAGATCCATTTGTTTATATTGTTCCCTGTGTAGCCAAACAACTGTTCGCATTGTGAAATGGATTGCTTCATTTTACATCAGTTTATCAGTGCTGACCCAGGAGCGGCCACAGCTGAAGTCAGTGCTCTTGGGCAGACTACTACTGGAGAGATTACACTGGTACTGTAAACTCCCGGTTACTGGACTTTGCCTATGTGTGCTCCTCTTATAGGCCTGAGATGTACTGAAGGGGGGAGTGGGGGGCGTGAGAAGAGGCTGTGGATATGTTCTGTGCTGAGGGGCAGCTACTCAATGCTTACATTGGACCTTTCAGTGTGGGAGAATTTAAATTGCTGCATCCTGGTAATGCCAGGGCAAAGTGACCTGACTTGAAGTTTATTAAATACCTAACTGAAGCAAGATGAAGTGAGATAAGAGTGATGGTTGTGGTTAAACCTTTGCTTTTGCTTAGGAGCTTTTTGAAAAAGACAGGATTTCCCTTGGCCCCAATGAAGTTTCATTCCTCTATCACTCTTTTCCCTGGACATCGTGTTTCATTATACACTTGCGCAATCTATATGTTATGAGGGGGAGAAACCATCTGCGATTGAAATAGTAGCACAATGACGGATGTTTCAATCTAATAAAGCTACTCTGGATGAGACCTGCTTTAGATAAAACAAAGGGTTGATTTCCCCTCCTTTCTAAGTCACCCTTATTCCTATTCTGGGAACTGCTAGATCAAATCACATGCTTACCATCTGCAAACAGTTACTGTATTTTTTTTGCCCTTGAAGCACAGTAGTATGTTACCTTCACTTAAAACCTGGACTTTGCATATTCAGTATTTAAATACAATAATTTCTGTAATAATAAAAACCTAACCTATATATTTGCTTAACTGCTTTTGCTTGTAACTTTTTTTCAGTACTACATTCCAAGTCGTTGTCACATTTTCTGTGTGTTTTTTTTTTTAATAACTTTTTACAACTTTCCTTTCAGTTAAGCCAATGGACAAGGACAAGGCTTCTGTCTTAACCAGGAGTTTTGGCTGCAGTACCACACTGGGGGTATGAATGGCTGCAGTGTATCTGCTGTATTTACAAGAATGCTCTCATAGGCTGGCAGAAAACTGTTGTTTGCCTTCCCAGTGCTGATTCAGGGTAAAATAGCAACTCTGATCATCCCACAGCTTGATGCGTGCATATAGACCTTTTCCCTCCTAGGGGCCTGATGTAGCAGGGGAATTGGAACCTGTTACATTTACCACCATGTTTCCTGTGGAGTAGTGTTAATAGTTGGACAATTGAGTTAGTTTATGGTTTGATAAGGAGATTTGCTTTTAAATGTATTCCTATTTGTATCTTGAGTTACAAAAAGGAAATGGAAAACAATAAAAAAACAACCTACCACTCAGTTTGAATGGTTTAGCAGTTCTGCTGTGTCTAACTTAGATCAGCTGTTATTTTTATCAGACAGGATCCTTTTCTATTTTGCTTTGCAGAAATGAGCTCATAATATTAATCTTCCCGTGACCTTTTGAAGGAGATCAGACAAAAAGATCAGAATGATAATTTCTATTTTTCACTTCTGATAGCTGGGAGGAACTGTTGAAAATACACTTGTTCCTTTGGCTGTCTGCTGCAAAGTGATGGTAATGATTTTTCTATTTCATAATCAGATCAGAAGTGCTTACAGCTCTTCTGTGTATGCAGGCAGTGAATACTGGAGTTGGCAGTGCTAGTATGAAATGGGTTTTCAAAGAGCTTGATTGTTTGCTGATGGTGCCATTTACGGCGGGGCGACACCATCGATGTCCTTTCTTAGAGGCTGAAGGAAAATGATGAAAAGCGAAAGTGAACCAGTGTGTCTGGTAGTCTTATTTATTGTGAAGAAGAAATTCTCATCAGATGATTCCAGTCTTGGCAAGACAATGTTATTTCCCTCTTACAGCATCATTTTCATCTTTTCATTCGAAGAGTAGCAAGTGAGTGGTGGCTGTTGCATTACAGTACTTTGCTGTTATATTCCAGGTATCACTGTGGCAGTTTGCAACTACATCCTTTTCATTTAGTAGAAATGACTTACGATTGAATAAATGGATTAAAGTTTATTTAATATAAGCTTTTCTACTGTATGATAGCCAAAGGATCATCTGAAATACTTGTGAGTGAAGTGAGTCTTGCAGGTTGTCCTGAAAATGACTGATTCTAACTTATCAGTTTCTGGCATAACTTTTTTTACTACATACGAATGATCAACTTGGTTTGCACTGGTCACTGCTTTGCTTGTGAGCAGCAAGGCTCCAAAGCTTTGGAATCTTTATACTCTTCCAATTGGAAATTTTACTGTCTGTTTTGTTTCTGGAGTATTGGGGTTATTTCCTGTTATCGTAAAACTCCACACAGAACTGCAGTCTGTGAAAGCTATCAGTGGTTCTTGGAGAAAGTTCCAGCTGACCTGCCTTCATCCCAGCTCCAGCCTCTAGTAAATAGGTCATATGCAGCATAAGAATTGGATAATACCTGCAACTGTTGTACACATCCAGCCCTTGTGGAGGACTCTTACGTGAAGCTAGTGAGGAACATGAAGATGAACTTAAGAAAATATATTAAGGCAACAATCTATTATTGGCCCACCATAATCTGTTATGTGATCAGCTTATGCCTATGCTTATTATCTCTGCTATTGTTGTTTACCATGCCGTCTGCTTCATGTTTTATTGCCAGTGAGGATCCATACAGAGGAGACCATGTGTGGATTTCTTCATCTTGCAGATATTAATCTCCTTTATGTATAGTTATATATGTGTGTATATATGTATTAAACATATTTTATATATAATATATTCTAATTTATATTATATATTTCATATATATATAAAAAAAACCTTTCTACCCTTAAATTTCTCTGTAAGCAATGTCTGCTGGGGGCAGATGCAGCAGAATTGTCAAGAGTGATCACATGCTGTCCTACCCACACTGGCTTTCCTGAAGCAGTCGTTATGATTTCTGGTGTCTGTCTTTTCTGAGTACATTGCCCTTGAGCATCCTTTCCAGGTTCAGGTAGGCCGATAACAAAGCTTTAATTTTGTCAAGCAGTACAGACTCTGCAGCCTGCTGCTGTTGCAGGTAGTTTTTATTCCCAAGCTCTGTCAGACCTGTGCAGCCCGTTTGTGGTAGGGAAGCAGAAGTGGTGAGAAAGCGAGATTATCACTGATCATAGAGTCACAGAATGGTTTGGGTTGGAAGAGACCTTTAAAGATCATTTAGTCCAACCCCCATGCCATGGGCAAGGACATCTTTCAGATCAGGTTGCTCAAAGCCCCATATAGCCTGACCTTGAACACTTCCAATGGCACGGGGGTCAAAATAGATGATCTTTGAAGGTCCCCTTCCAAACCGTTCTGTTGAATGCCAGCAGTTTTCAGGCAGGGCTGCCTGCCCACAGTGACTTTGCACGGTGGTATGGGTGAGCAAAGCCCACTCCCTGCCCAAATACCTCCTCCCTGGGGCTTTAGACAATGCTAATATCTTCTTAGGAGGAAAATGCATGTTGTTTTACTCTATTTTTTTTTTAATGTTGCTACTTAAAGAAACAGTTTTCCCTTCATCACTATGCCCATATTAAGAAATACATCCATCCAGACGGAATGAGGGCAATGCTCTGTGATTTGTGTGGTCAGGCTTATGTCTCCAGTGCAGACTTGTAACAGTGCAAATTCAAGCTATCAGCAGTTTGTGTATATATATTTTTAGCTTGTTTTTCTGAGAAAATAGATTATGTGCAGTTTTCTCTGAATGTCTGCCTTTTGCTCTTGCTCTTAGGAACTTTTAAACCTCTTGACCAAGTTGCATTTGTGAGTGGGGTAGAAGCTTATTCCAGTAAACCTACAAGTTTTCTGGCATTAGGCAGCCTAGGCAGATGGAAAGGTGCCTGCTGAAGGAGAGGTTGCAGTCTGAACTTTTCCTACAACTTTGACACACATTGCTAGGAAACTGGATTTTACTGGCTC